ATATCTGTAATTCCTGATTAAATCAATAAAATAAATTGACGCATTCATTAATTTTTTTGAGTCACCCTGTATATGCAAATCGAAAAAATTTGAATGGAGTGATAAATCACAAGAAGAGACTCACCATATTTTGTACATTTTAGACAGGATTTATTCAGCAAAATTTTGTGGTGACGTCATAAATTTTTTAGGAGGGACGACCAAATACATTTTGATCAAAAATTTACCATGCTTATGATAATTTTAAAACATCTTCAAGATTTCAAAGCATTCGGTTTTGTAGTTCCTGGGTAAAATAAATTTTGCGCATTCATTAATTTTTTTGAGTCACCCTGTATATGCAAATCCAAAAAATATGAATGGAATGATATATCACAAGTACAGACGCGTCATATTTTGTACATTTTAGATAGGATTTATTCGGCAAACTTTTGAGCTGACGGCATCAAGTTTTTGGAGGGGATAACCAAATATATTTTGACTAAAGATTTATGATGCTCTTTAGAGGCTTAAAACATCTGCAACATTTCAAAACATTCGGGTTAGCAGATTCAAAATTAAATTGCAAAATGTTGTTTTATAATTTTGATTTTTTTTCCAAAAATCTGGACGTTTCAGGTAAAAACTCAATTCGGGGTCGTAAACTACATGTGTAGGACTATGTTATTTTATACAATTTAAGACCCATTTACTATGTACAATTTTGAAGTGACGTCATCGCATTAGTGGTGGGGATGATTAGACAAACTTTGGTTAGCGTTTTACCATCTACATGATATTCCTAATATAAGTACAAAATTTCACAACAATCGGTCCAGTACTTTCGGAGATTATCTGTCTAATAAAAATCCGGGACGGCAGACGGACAGACGGACGGACAGACGGACAGACGGACCGACAGACGGACGGACAGACAGACAGACAGACGGACAGACAGACGGAAATGGGAGAACTATTTCTTCGTCTTCTAGGGGTCATGAAAGATCGACAAAACGTAAAAGTAGAGAGTCGGCCGACGGACTTAATGTGACTCGATCTTGAAATGTGTGGCAATTAGTAACTTTTATGAAATAGAAATATATCTGTGTCCTTGTTATGTTGTTATGCTCCGTCTTTTCGACAGCAGGTATTTTTTGCTTCCAGTATGGCGATCCTGTTACTGTCATTTGGCCGTCAATTGCCTTGGTGGTAACACGTCTTCCACGACTGTTTGCTGGTTACCGGTGACACTTTCTCGTTGAATAGGGCTGGAGTTACTTTGGGACTGGAATAGTGTTCTTTCCGGTCCGTTAACTCAATAATTCTAGTACAGTCTGTCGTAACCTCAAATCGTAAACACATCAACCTTTCGTTGACAGATAGCGAAAATTACTAGCCTCGCGCTATCTTTGTTTAACACATAGGTTAGGTTCCTCTCTGTCGAATTCCGACCACAGGCAGTTTGCCGTACTTTCTAAAAGTAATAGTAGATCTAGTGACTTTAGACGGACTCGATTACAATACTTCCTTTGCTTACGCTCGGGAAGTAAAAAGACAAAATATACTTTTTCTTAATACTTATAGTATTTTTTGAACAACACGACACTCAAAAACACGTCTTAAATAGTAATTTCTTGTAGAGAAATAATAAGGATTTTGCAATTAAATCTCGCTCCTTTGGCTCTCGACGATTAAAAAAAAATCATCACAATAGCAATAGGGCGGGTGGGCGGGGCTTATATTTTGCCTTGTTTTCTTCAAATGTATAGTCATCTTTTCACGACAATAAACTTAAAACATGTTTAAAATTGTAAATTTGCATAGGGAAATATCGATTTTGCAATTACGCTGCGCCCCTCGGCTTACGACGAATAAAAAAATCATCAGAATTGAGATAGGGAGGGGGGGGGGGCTTATATTTTGCCTTTTTACTTCCCGAGCGTAAGCAAAGGAAGTATTGTAATCGAGTCCGTCGGCCGACTCTCTACTTTTACGTTTTCTCGATCTTTCATGACCCCTAGAAGACGAAGAAATAGGTCTCCCATTTCCGTCTGTCTGTCCGTCTGTCCGTCCGTCTGTCCGTCCGTCTGTCCGTCTGTCCGTCTGTCCGTCTGCCGTCCCGGATTTTTATTAGACAGATAATCTCCGAAAGTACTCGACCGATTGTTGTGAAATTTTGTACTTATATTAAGAATATCATGTAGATGCTAAAACGCTAACCAAAATTTGTCTAATCATCCCCACCACTAATGTGATGACGTCACTTCAAAATTGTACATAGTAAATGGGTTTTCAATTGTATAAAATAACATAGTCCTACACATGTAGTTTACAACTCCGAATCGACTTTTCACCCGAAACGTCCAGATTTTTGGAAAAAAAAATCAAAATTATAAAACAACATTTTGAAATTTAATTTTTAATCTGCTAACCAGAATGCTTTGAAATGTTGCAGATGTTTTAAGGCTATAAAGAGCATCATAAGTCTTCAGTCAAAAAATATTTGCTTATCCCCTCCAAAAACTTGATGACGTCAGCTCAAAAGTTTGTGGAATAAATAATATCTAAAATGTACAAAATATGATGAGTCTGTACTTGTGATCCATCACTCCATTCATATTTTTTGGATTTGCATATACAGGGTGACTCAAAAAAATTAATGAATGCGTAAATTTATTTTACTGATTTACTCAGAAACTACAAAACCGAATGCTTTGAAATCTTGCAGATGTTTTAAGGTTATAAAGAGCATAATAAATGTTTAGTCAAAATATATTTGCTTATCCCCTCCAAAAAATTGATGACGTCAGCTCGAAAGTTTGCCGAATAAATCCTATCTAAACTGTAAAAATATGATGAGTCTGTACTTGTAATTTATCACTCCATTCATATGTTTTGGATTTCCATATACAGGGTGACTCAAAAAAATTAATGAATGCGTAAATATATTTTATTGATTTAATCAGGAACTACAAAACCGAATGCTCTGAAATCTTGCAGATGTTTTAAAGTCATAAAGAGCATAATAAATGTTTAGTCTAAATATATTTGCTTATTCCCTCCAAAAACTTGATGAGGTCAGTTCGAAAGTTTGCCGAATAAATCATATCTAAAATGTACAAAATATGATGAGTCTGTACTTGTCATTTATCCCTCCATTCATATTTTTTGGATTTGCATATACAGAGTGACTCAAAAAAATTAATGAATGCGTAAATATATTTTATTGATTTAATCAGGAACTACAAAACCGAATGCTTTGAAATCTTGCAGATGTTTTAAGGTTATAAAGAGCATAATAAATTTTTAGTCAAAATATATTTGGTTATCTTCTACAAAAAACTGATGACGTCAGCTCAAAAGTTTGCCGAATAAATCGTATCTAAAATGTACAAAATATGATGAGTCTGTACTTGTGATTTATCATTCCATTAATATTTTTGGATTTGCATATGCAGGGTGACTCAAAAAAATTAATGAATGCGTGAATTTATTTTATCGATTTAATCAGGAATTACAAAACCGAATGCTTTGAAATCTTGGGAATATTTTAAAGTTATTATAAGCTTGGTAAACTTTTGTTCAAAATGTATTTGTTCATCCCTCCTAAAAAAATTGATGACGTCACCCTTAAATTTTGCTGAATAAATCCTATCTAAAATGCAAAAAATATGATGAGTTTGTAGTTGTGATTTATCATTCCATTCATATTTTTTAGATTTTCTTAAGAAGTGGTTCAAAAAAATTAATGAAGTCAATTTATTTTATTGATTAAATTAAAGGCAACACTTATTATTAGTATTACACCCCAACCAACCCAATTTGGTAGACACAAAATTTGTTAAAGGAAAAACTCGGTTGAAACATAAGGGTAGCACGCTTATTTACATCGACTTCAACATTACAGACCTGCATTTGTTTTATGCGCTCACTTGGTTCCGCGAATGTGGAATAGACATGTTTATAATCAACCAATTGTGAATTTCACCGTCAAGAATTAAAATAAAACCCAATGTTTTATATAATAAGCGGAAGTCGAAGCAATAAAACCGATGGTCGTTTTGTTTACAGTTTCTCTGTTTGACTCTCACGTATGCTGTTACGCTTGTCATCTTAAATTAAGAATGTTTATACATAAACGATTTTCAGTTGCCCCTCATATTACTAGACAGCGGATTTCTGTCGGGCTACGTCACGATTATAGGGGGGGACGTGCTGGATCGCCGGGTGATAGATAATCACTGAATTTAATCGGTACTAATTCCATAAATATAATTAACGATTTATTAATCAAACGGCTAAGTAAATGAGAACGGGAATTAACAGCAGAGTGCAACGAAACAGCGTTATTCTAATCTCAAATAAACGAAGTGCAGTCTGCAACCGCAATGAATTCGCATCCCGTACGAGCCGTACCGAGTTTGGCCTTGCCTAGCCCGACAGAAATCCGCTCTCTAGATATTACACACCGGCGCCGTATACGTGAGTAAATTGTTTCGTTATTTTATTGATTATAAGAAATCAATATTCAAAACGACCCAATTCATTTTCCCGAAAATTTGGGAATACAATAATTTTATTCTTAGTATTACACTACATCTATCCCAACTGATATACGTGTCCTTGCAAAAATGTTGATGACGTCATCACAATTTTTTTTTAAATTCCCACTACAAAAATGTAATGAGAAAAAAAAAACACAATAGGCATGCAGTCGTCAAGTTTCCGACAGCGAGGGAAGTACTGTCTAAACTCTTTAGACCAATTTTTTTTTCTTAATATACATTGTGGTGACCGAATTTAAATCAAACTTTTCGCGCTGAAATTAATTGACAGCGGCGCGAAATCGCATTTGAATAATTTGAATTTGAAAAAAAAGGTTCAATCACGAAAAGGAACTCCTTAAACATAGGCAACCAAATATGCATGGATGGTCTAATGCACGTAGCGCTTAGGAGTTAGTTGCATGATCTTTGGGTTAGATGGCAGCACGTAGCGCTAGGGTAATTTCAGTTAGAGGGTTGGTAGAAAAGCGGCAGGGCGGTAGAATGGGTCATTCTGGTGTGTTTCGTGTAAGTGTAACCACGTGGTAAGAGCTAGGTTTAAATTAGTTGGTTTGGTAGTTAATAAAACGGGAGGAAGCCTTTGTTTAACGACGATCAAACGTATTTTTCATACTGATACAGTTGTCCCCAACCCGCGCGGTAAATTCTTGCGCCCTTTTAATCGAAAATTGCAGACTTCCGGTCGGACGCGAACACGTGTTGTGAATCTGTTCTTTGTTTGAAAATTCACCAATCAAGCTACTTTTTCTTAATACTCAGCTAGAGCAAACACAATTTAACAATTAGGATTATTTAAATTAACCATTTGCTAGAAGTTTTCATGAAATTCACTTAGTCAGGAAAAACACCTTATGTTTAATTACGAATAGGTCTCTGGATGCATATACGTAAGTGTTACATTATAACACTTCTAAATTCTTCACACAAGATTGCTAATAAGGTAGTTCATTTACGGCAGTTAAACAAGTTCATTATACTGCGGACTGGCGGGGGGGTTATGATATTTTCTCCCCTCAGGTGGTTATCATCATTATCACGATTAATTCATCGGGGCATGTTTCGCAACGCCAGATTGATTAATTAATTAAGGCATGCCCCCAACGCTACAGAAAATTTACGTTACCGAGACGCTTTTTCCTCGCAACGATTTTGGATACATCACCGAGACGCTTTTTCCCTCGGAGCGATGATTGGATATTTTTGTATTTGTTTATTATGTGTTTTGTTGGGGTAACCAGTTCGTAGTATTTTAACTTCTCAAAGTAAATTATTTTTGAAGTAACCAATCATTTAGATCATGATATTATTTGGCATAATGTAAACTCTTTGCTTGAACCGTTGATAAAGTGTGGCAAATATTAATCTCCTGTAAATTATGTTAACACTGCAATTTTTCACATCATACTATATTTCTTAATCTCACAATCTTAACCTCAGTAATTTTATTTGTTGTATAAATTTAATTGAACGTAAATTTCATGTTCTACAGTTCTAACCTCACATAACATTTCTATTTGTACAAGTTTATTTCACACCAGATCTTTCGTCTCATGAATCCTTGCTAAGTTTTGTTTTGTAAATACTTTGTTGATGAATGTTTTCTATCATATAAATTATTTGATGTCCAACTTTAATCCCACATAAGAATTATTTGTTGTTTAAGATTTCACAAGATTGTATGGCGAATTTAAATGTTGTTTATTGCTCTTTGAAACTTTAACACTTGTTCAGTTGTTGTTAACATCAGAGTTATAAGAGATTGAATGTTTTAAAATGGAATTGAGGTTAAATGACACAGAAAACGTGGCAGAAGCGAGGTTTGGTTCCTAGTCGAGCTGGCGAGATTTATCGCGCCACCTGTACAAGTCCACAGGTTTGGATAGATTCAGGGGCGGCCGCCGATGTTGTAAATTTCTAGGCTCCTGTACATAGCCTAGATCTCTTGCGGGTTGGACGACCGTAATGGCCTAGTTCCGCAGGGCAAAGTTCGTCATGGGATATGCGTGTGGGGTAGGCTTTGCGATAGATAGAATCACCGTCGCGGGGGGAGAACAGTTCCAGACCGGTAGCTCAGACTCCGCTTATGCCACAACGCTCCAGGGGTACTTTTCTTGTGCTCCTGTTAACTGCCGTAACAAAAAAAAAAGGAAAAGGAGATCGGCCGCCACACGCCTGTAATAACTTGTGTACTTGCATCCAGTTACTTGATTCAGCTTTTGCTTTGTTTTATTAAATTTATAAATATTTACATTGATTCCGAACAGATGTACAGAATTTCCGTTTGTTCGTTTTTCGTGTGTGTATGTCTGTCAATTCGCGAGTGTTTTTCTTTCACATATCTTAAGGTGTTTGAAATGTAATAAAATGTCGTCCGGGAATAAAACCAAGGGGGTTTTTGCGCTGAGGGGTAAATCTTCGCAGCGTATTTCCCCCTGTGAGGGTGGTGCCGTTTCCCCCCCTCCAAAACAATTTCTGTTAATTATTTCTTGCGCTCTCGACAGTGTATGCACTTGTATGAAAGAACTTCTTCCCGCCATTTTTCAAAACAAAAAAAAAACACACAACGTAGGTTCTCATTTGTTAGACGATCACAGCCAAGGCCAGACTTTGAATTTTTAAATTTTTCGCGGGCCTTTCAAACTGTTTCAAGGTCAAATTTTAAGGCGGGAAGTTTGGGTTATCACAACATAGCCATCTTTTCAAAACAAGAAACTTAGAACATGGTTAAAATGGTACATTTTTGCAAGGAAATATGGATTTTGCAACTATAGGGCGGAGCCTAATTGCAAAAATCGATATTTCCTTATACAAATTTTCCGTTTTCATGTTTTAAGTTTCTTGTTGTGAAAAGAAGTCTACACTTATTAAGAAAAAAAAAGGGCAAAATGTAGCCCCACCCACCCGCCATGTCTCAATTGTTATGATTTTTTTTATTCGTCGTGAGCCAAGGGGGCGGAGCTTAACTGCAAAATCCTTATTTCTCCACGAGAAATTAGAAAAACATCTTTTTGTGTATCGTGTTGTGCAAAGAATACTATGTATATTAAGACACACATTTTGGCCTTTTTTTCTTAATATGTGTAGATTTATTTCGACGACAAGAAACTTAAAACATGTCTAAAATGGTAAATTTTTGTAGTAATCAACTTAAATCATCCACATTTCAGCTCTAAAAGCAACGTCAACAGCAAGTTTATAAATCCTACTTAAACTGTCAATTTTGGACTTGGGAAACTGGGACTTTAGACCATATAATAATTGTTACATGATCTAAGACTGGGACACAGAAATGGAATGACGTGGCTTGTATATTTGGTTGCATAATTTAATTTTAAAAATAATAATGATAATATAAATATGAATTGTCCATACTTATGCGGACCGCGTCCCTTTGAAATTTACGCCCTCATTGCGGGCGTTATGCCACTTTACGTTCAACTATAAAATAAATTTCCTGTTATCAGTCCCTGGTTATCAGTGTCCTTAAACTGTTACGTCAACAGCATGTTTATAAATCCCACTTAAACCGTTCAGGATCTTTTTAGACAAAAGTGGACTATGAAATTTTTCCTCACGTTGGATAAACTGATTCGTTGCCAAAAAGATAAATTTCATTTTTCAGTAGGGATCTTTGCATATATTAAATTGGTTGCCAACCAAACTAGATTTACATGTCTAAAAACATCCTGAATCGAATTGTTGCGTCTTTCGATTTCGGAGTTACAACCCCCTAAACCCAAAAAACAGTTTTCGAATCCGGAAAATGCGCATTTTCGGGTGAAATGGAAGGAGTATCGAAAAGCTAATCCCAGAAATGAGTTCTACAATGCCAAAATTTCAGATCGATGTGAAAATTTTCGTTTTTTCAAGACATTTCCATATCGTCAAATTTTCCGATACGATTATTTCTGACACTGGAACTTTCAATCTCTACTAATTCAAATTTCCTGAATCAAAATTGAGACTCAAAAAACCTTTTCCTGGATTTTTTAAAATTTTGCAAAAACAACTTGCTTGATGTCAACAGACAGTGGTTATTGGTTATCCAAAAAGAATAACCTGGTTAATACGACCTTAGAATGAGGAACTTCTAATTCCTTTTAACAACTTTAAGTATTTCGCATAAAAGAATGCAAAATACAGAACAACTTGTAAAGTTAAATGCAGTTCTAGTTTATCGTTTGAATATTCACAGATAAAGTAAGTACTGTGTCATTTTGAAGAATCTTTTTATTTGGTTTTATTAAGTCAATAGTCTCCGATTACCTTAAAACTTTAAAATTCGACGTTTTAATTAATTTCGCATCATAAATCGCGGACTTTTAGAATGCTTTTGAGAATTTTTCTAACAAGGTCGTGTTTTTAAGTTATGCTAGCACAAAAAAGCTACATGAATTTTTAATGATCCATAAAATTTAAAATGAATTAACATGACCACAACGACCGTATATAAAGATGTGTGTCGATGGTATACTTATTACTGTCATTGTTGCTACATGGTTGTAAAAATGAAGTTCACTGTTTGTGTTGCTGCTTTTGCAATAATAGCCATTGTGTTGGTACGTATTTTTTTAAACCTAATTTAAAAATTAAGGGTAACGAATTTTGTAGCATCAGTTAGAAACTAAGTAACAAATTTGCAAAAACATGACCACAACGAAAACAAATTAGACGTCTACTACTGATTTGTCTTTTAAATTTAGGGAAAATCAAATTGACACTTATAAATGTTTATTCTTTCCATTTTCAGGTTTCTGCAGTTACAGGTTCCCCAACATGGCTTATTGGCGATGTTGGTAATAAAGGAAAATAACGTCAAACGGGCAACAAATTCCCAAAATGTACATCAGTATAAAATAAAATTTATGTACATCTATGATTTTTTTTTATTATTGGAGAAAATCCAGTTGAAACTTCCAAACAGTGTACCTACTTTAGACGGGAAAATTAATTTATTTTGAATGAGTGAGAGTGCGACGATAGCACCATCACTTCTTCTGCGCATGTCACTCAACAAGCGTTAACCACAGACCAATTTTATATTTTTGTTTTATTTTCTTTACGACTCTTCTTTTCGAATTGTTTGGATGCTTTCTGATTGTCTCTTTCGAATTTTTCGGATTCTTTCAAAGACACCATCAGAAATCCTCAAGATTTGTTTAAATTTTTCGGTTCTGTTCAGATTGTTTCAGATGCTGTACAAATCCACATTTTTCTAGATTCTTTTAGATTTTGCTAGATTCTTCAAGATTCTCTCACATTTCCTAGAGGAATCTGAGTGAATCTAGAGGAATCTCGAAAAATCTAGAAGAATCTGAACGATTTTGCATGACTGAAGCGACGTGGAAAAATTTGAAGTAAAATTAATTTTCTGGTACCACTCACAAATATATTTCTATCTGGCCACCTCCTCGAACTTCTATGATCCTATTACAGAGTCGACTATCGAGGCTCGCCGGGCTTGCTATTTTTAGTTGAAGTTCGTAAATCCCATTGATACTTTAATAAATTTTTTTATTTATTTATTCTTAAGTGCTATAAAACTGACTTAATATTTATAATTACAAAGCAAATAAATTTACTGACATTACACTACTTAGGTATTTATAATTTATTACAGAAAAACTGTTATCTATTTTCTAAGTAGACGCACAAGTGGCTGAAGTTTCACATTGTCCACTCACTTGGTTGAAGGCTTGGCCACTGGCACAAGTCTCCAGGACGTAGTCCCACCACCACATAACTTCCACGCAACTATAGTATTGGTTGCATTGTGGTCCTGGATAAACAGCGGTTTGGTTACACGTTGGAGGAGTTGCTAAACACAAAACGTCATAATCGTCACGCAGTGTAGCCGACTTTACTTACACACAACAGGAGGTGTTGTTGTAGGAGCTGCTGTTGTAGTCGTCGTTGTCGTTGTAGGAGCTGCTGTTGTAGTCGTCGTTGTCGTAGTTGTAGTAGTAGTCGTTGTAGTTGTAGTTGTAGGTGGAGGATTAGAACCGGGTTGACAACTTTTAAAATTCAACAATTACTCTGCAAATTTTTTGAAATTATACTCACGTAAACTGTGCAGTACTGTCACAAACGTATCCAGCTGGACAGTTTGAAACCCCAGTTGTTAGAACAACTTCGCCATTTATGATTGCGCACAACTGGTATTGAGTGCTTGAAACACATATAACACCACTAGGCGGACATGTCAGTTGTAGATCACTCAGTATGATTTTGTGGAAAAGTAACAGCGCCTAAAAAGCGACTCAGCAAAAAATCAAAAACAAAAATCTTCTTACCAGAAGTAGTGCGCTCATTTTCAAGGCTTGACGTCAAGTGACATAATTAACAAATCACTTAAGTCCCTTAAGAATTAGTTAAATATTATTAAGTTTGGCATTTTTTATCAGATGATGGGAATGACCTTCGCAAAAAAACACTAGCATGATCAACAAAATTTTTATTAAAATACGGTAACATAATAAAATATAATCTATGCGCTGGTTAGAACAGATTCCGACATATAGGGCAGGAGCTCTTGTTGCTTGTGCTGAACCACTTATACTGAAAAAAGTACGTCAAAATTTTCGAAATTGACCAGTTGGAAACTTACCAAACAACCTGAGTGGAACTTCTTCTTACAAGTTTGACACGTTAATTTTGGCAACTGGTAGGTACCTGGGTGCAACACCGCAAAACAAATGTAGCACTCTTCCACCCCATCAAACTTCTTGTCTAAGCTGCTGTTCCAAAGGGACAAACCATCCCAAATTCGCCCATTCTTACAAACAAAATCATTATTATTAATTAACACAAACCCGACGAAAATCTAACCTGGTGTAAAAGATACTTCTTCAGTTGCATGAGCCATTGTTTATGCGACGGCCCCCCGATCTGTCGACTACACCTAACGTCTGGTCCCCCCAAAGGATAATTCTGAGGTAGAGTGATCACCAGTTCCATCTGCGCCTCGTCGACGGTATAAATAGCCACAACTTCGCGCACCGACGGGATAATTTTGATCTACAACACTAGATGACGCAAGGAACACAACGCCTGAAACGTACCGTCATATTCTTGAATTTGTTTTCTCGGTGCCCCACATCCGCCAACTCTTGACTACACAGCTGCGGCGAAACGTAAAACGAAGTGACTTTTTCCACGATTTGAGACACTTTAGTTTCGGTTTCGGACCACCACTGCCTCACCAGAGCCGGCAGCTGCGATAAACAGAAAGCGTAGATCCAGCAGACGACGTGTTCAAGTTGTTCGCTGGTGCAAGCCTCTGTAAACGTCAAAGTCGGCTCTTTGAGGAAGAGTTTAGCGAAAGCTTTGGCTTTGCCTTCGCTGTAATGCAAAATCTCCGTTGGCATTAGTTTGAATAAGTTGTTTAACAAGTTTTTCAGGTAGTTCTCGTTTCTGGAAAGTGAGGTTAGTTGAAGTGAGTTGGTAGCACTGACTTACCGTAGCCAATCAGCGTATTGGTAGCGAAGCTCGGGCGGCGATTTCTCACACAAGTGGAGCAAAACTCCCCACAGAATCAAGTAGGCGAAGGTATACGTAAACGAATCGGTGAACGGAGTAACTTGACAGCTGTCTTCTCCCAACCTAAACCACAAAATGAGAAAAACCCTAACCGCTCAAACCAACTTACTTAAAACCGGCTAACACCCCGTCGACTACACTGTGTGTTTGCTGCAAAATTTCCCTAAATTGCTCGATCGTGAACCCTTTAGTGTTCGGCGTGCTGCTACTATCCGACTGCAAGTCAATCTCGACCAACCCGGGTACAAGAACCAGCAACATCTTGTACCCCCACAGTTGCAGAATGGCCGACGAGTTAACAATCAAGTTAACACACCGCTTCACAATTTTATTCCAGTGCGGTAACACATTCTCTTTACTGAAAATCAACTTGGCGACAAAATGGTCGCTCACTTTACCGAACGCTTGCACGAAAGCCTCATACTCAACCGAAAGCGGCTTTTTCGCGCCAAATTGATCTAAAACGAGTCGATAATACAGGTTTCTACAACCCTTGCAACTCACCAGCGAAGTACAACCACAATTGCAACAACTCTGCGTGTATTTCCGGCAAAAACAAATCCTCCCACTCTTCAGCGAAGTTGTTCTTCACGTTATTGACCTTCAAATCCGCCATTTTCTGGCTAAGAATGACGTAAAAGTCGCACACTGCCACCACGAAAGCTTGGATTTGCTCGCTGTCGTAACCAGCGCGAAGTTTGAAGCAGTTGGAAGCCCATGAAGATAGGCAAATGACACCTAAGTCCCAGTGCTGGCGACTGAGACACTCGAATTTGTCTTTGATAAGTCGGGAAAAAAGGCGGATTATTTCGATAATGGTCTCCATGTCGCTCCACGTCATGTCTTTACTAAAAATAACAACAATAACAAATGTGGGAGTTTTAAAGTTGGCAAGTACGTGTCTAGTATAAATCTGGGGATGTTTTCGCTGCGCAGTTTTTTGATTTTTTCGAAAACTTCGGCAATTTGGACTTCGATTTCGTCGCAGTGGGTTAAATTGCGCAGCACGACGACGCTGTGGAATACAGAGGGGCTGAAGTCGACGTAGTCGAAGTCTATATGGGGTCCGTATATCTGGCTTAAGTGGATTTTACTTAAGTCGTTTGTGGCGGCTTTGTAGCACTCCTTGAACGTCTCTTGTGGCGACTTCGATAAAAGCTCCTGGTGGAAGAGGTACAAAGTTTTCGTCCAAAGAAACGAATTTGAGTTTGAGTTTGCAACAAGCACACTGTTAATCTCGTCACAGATTTGTACCCTTTCCACCAGTTTCTTAGTTTTGGTTTTTAAAAGATCGTACTGTTGCGATATCGTTGTGTAATATTTGTTCTGAAAAGTAATAATCGTTTTAAATTTTGTTAAGTATGCAACCAAATATACACGAAGTTCCGACAAATATTTACCATTTTGTAATTCTTCAGAAACGACTGGGCGCACACAAGTAGATACAACATGTCTGCAACTAAGTTCTTGTTGTCGTCTATGCTATAAACAACCTCTTTGGTTTCCACGTCTTCATTTTCTTCTTCTTCGTCTTCGTCGCGATTTTCCAACGGTGACGACACTACTGCCACTTTAATCAACCCCCATACGAAGTATCTCAAAATGTTTTCCTCCTCGACTTCGCCACTTTTCCTCACACTTCCTCCACTATTAGCTAAATTTCCGTTCAAATACTCCGCCAGAATGCACAACTCCTCGATTTTGTGCTTCCAAGTTGGCAGAAATGCGCGATTAAAAAACAAGTTAAAAACATCGGTGATTATCAAGGGTTGACCGTTAAAAACTGCCCTAATCACGTTGACTATGGTTGCGATTATTCGGTTGGTAGACAATTCAGAGGGACACCTGTCTAAGAAATTCGCTTCTACCAACTGCGCAAGCTTGCCAATTATTTCCAGTAGTTCTTGTTTTGGCAAACTTTTCGAGAGTGCTGTGACGACGTCCTGCCATGACGTGTTGATCTCCCATTGGGTGTCTTCAGTGAGGAATTCCAAGTCGGTGTGGTCGTCGCAAGAAAACTGGAAAAGCGCGAGGAGCAGCTCGTCGCCATATTTGAGCAACGAGTTCTCAGCGTAGATCATGTCGGTAACGTAGGACGCTAGATGTGCGCATGAGTCAATCGAAGTCGAGAAGTCTTCAGGGTGGAGAAGGGGTTGTTTGATTTTGTTAATAATATTGGAAATGGTTTCTTTATCAGTGAGAAATTCTAACAAACAAAATCACTATCATTACTATCACTATTAAAAAAAATATATATATACCTCCGTCTCGGTTTTCCGTGAAGGCCAGCTTGAACACATTTTGTAACTCAGCCGGACACTCGATTCGTAAGTTGGCATCAGTCGCGGCAACCAAAAACTCCCCGACTTGTTTATTCTTGATCCACTTTTGTACCACACTATCTTGATTATAGGGGTGCGAAAATGCCCCTTTTACGCACCACCCGAACGACTCCTGCTCACTAAATTCCAGAAACGACGCCAAGATGGCGCTCTTGTCGCCATCGTCGACGTACTGCGTCAGAATGAACGTCAGCTCGACTATGACTTCCGAACACAAGTCAGACGACTTTAGCCACGTGTGCAACAAATTGTGGTAAATGTTGGGTAAATTTTGGTCCCCGTTTAGGATTGTGGCCAAACCTGCGAGAAACTCGCGGCTTTCGAAAAGCCGCACTAGCGAGAACAGGTTCTGGAGGAGGAACGTGGATTTGTGCTCTTGGATTTGGCGGACGTACGACTTGATTATCGTGTACGCCAATCGGGTCAAGTGTGCGTTGTACGACGCATCCACTTGACTGGGTGTCACGTGACAGCTGTCACCCACTTCGCCCTCGTTCGAAAACTTGACTTTCATTTGTTCGCGCGGCTTGGCGATGTGTTTTAATTGCTGCATGAAAGTGACTTGTCGGTCCGCCAGGTCTTGATTACCGTCCTCACAGGTGGATATCGTCTCCAACAAGTCGATCAAACTGGTCCAGAAAAGGTCCAGATACTTGGGGTAATTCTGGACGCTGTCTTTGTTTCTGGTCCAGTACTGCAGCAACAACGTCACGTGATGGAAAACCGTCCGATAACAAACTTGTTCCGCTTTCAGGCTCCACTCGATCAAAGTCAAAAGGTGCGATTTGATGAGTTTCTCGCACAGGTCGGTGTTGTCTTGGTTGATTAGAATTACATATTGTAGGCATTCGACGAGGGCCGAGACGACCGCCGTGGATTCGGATTTGCTGTTTAAGACGGTCCTGCGCTTTAGCCTGTTTGATTGAAATGAGCGGATTATAGTTTTATGGAAATTGTGGCCTACCCGAAACGTAGATTTTCGAAGAAGTTGTCGTAAAATTGGTCCGCGCGTAACGAGGGTGGAAGGTTGTGGAGAAGCGAGAGTAAGTTGGGGTAGATGGCGCTCGCGTTGCCTTGGCCTCCTTCTCTGAGTACTTTTTTTAATTTTGATATATAGTTTTTGTCGATATGGATGTGTTTCCACCATTCCTGGAATATTGACGTTTCAAAAAATGTGCGATCGAAAACGTTTTGATTGAGAGTTGCGTCTGGCGTCACTGTGTGTGACACAGCTAACTCTAAATCAAAATATTTTTGACATCGAAAACAGCATTCATTATTCTATATGATAAAAAATGTAATACAATTATGTGAAAGACTGCATTAGAAATTAGGGGATAGAGGGAGGAAGAGGGAAAAGAAACACACACAGAGAGAAACGGGAGTTATAGAGGGAACATGAGAAAGAGAACGACAATGAAAAAGGAGTTAACAGGAGGTAAAAAGACAGAAGGGTTAAGAAAGAGGGATAAGCCGAGTGGAGTCAAGAGAGAGGGGCAAAGAATGATGACTTAAACGACTGGGGCACATAGTAAGTTAAGAAAAAAGCATTACAAGAATGAGGCAAAGAGGAGAAAGTTAAGAGAGAGGGTCAAAAAAGAAGAATTAAGAGAGAAGTGCAAAAATGGGGATCAAAAAAAGAAAGAGGGGTAAAGAGAGAAGGGTTAAAAACCAAGGATTAAGAAAGAGATTAATAAACAAGAGCTAAGAGATGGTACCACAGAGAGAAAGCTTAAGAAAGAGAAGATAAGAGGGGCAAAAGGAGGAGAGTTAAGGGAGAGGGACAAAGAAAGGGGAGTTAAGAAACAGGGGTAAAGAAAAATGGGTTAAGAGAGAAGGGAAGAAGGGCATAGAAAGAGAGAAATATGAAGGGTTAAGACACAAAAGGCAAAAAAATAGGCGAGAAGGGTTAAGAAAAAGAAAGAGGAGGCGAAAGAGAGAGAGGAGTCAGAAGAGAGCGACATAGACAGAGGGACAAACAAGAAGAGCTAAAAGAGAAGGGTCAATAAAAAAGGGCAAAAAGGGGGGACAAAAAAAGGGGGGGGGCAAAAAGAGGGAGAGGAAGAGAGGACAGGGGTGGGGGGAAAGGGGAAGAGGGACAAAAAAAGGAGCAAAAAATAGAAGGGGAGAAAAGAGGGGAAGAAACGAAAAAAACAAAACAACAAGGCACAAAAGAGGGGCATTAACTAAGAAGGGTAAAAAAGAGAGCTTAAGTAAGAGGAGTTAAAAAAAAGAAGAACAAAAAAAAAAGAGTAATCAAAAGAGGAGCAAAAAGAGGGGCACTACGTAAGAAGAGTAAAACAGAGGGTTAAAAAGGGTCGAAAAAAAAAGAGGGGCAAAAAAAGGGCCAAAAAAGAGGAAAAAAAAGGGGCAATCAAGAGAGGGGTAAAAATAAAGACGGACAGTAAGAGGGCAAAAAAGGAAAAAAAAGAGGGGAAAAAACAGAAAAAAAAAGAGGACCAAAAAGAGGGGCAATCAAAAGAGGGATCATCAAAAGAGGAGCAATCAAGAGAGGGGCAAAAAAAGGAGGGGTAAAAATAAAGACGGGCAGTAAGAGGGCAATAAAAGAAGGGAAAAAAAAGAGGGGCACTAAGTAAGAAGAGTAAAAAAGAGAGTTAAAAAAGAGTCAAAGAAAAAGGGACAAAATAAGAGGGGCAAAAAAAGGGCCCAAAAAAACGAGGGACAAAAAAAAGGGGAAAAAGAAGAGCAAAAAAAGAGGCGCAAAAAAAGGGGCAAAAAAAAAAGGGGGGCAAAGAGAGGGCCATTAAGTATAAAGGATAAAAAAAAGAGGGTTTAAGTGAGAGAAGTTAAAAAAGAGGGGCAAAGAAAAAGTGACAAAAAAAAAAGAGAGGCAAAGAGAGGGCATTAAGTAAGAAGAGTAAATAAAGAGGACTTAAGTGAGAGGAGTTAAAAAAAAGAGGGGTAATCAAAAGAGGAACAATCAAAAGAGGGGCCATCAAAATAAGAGCAATCAAGAGAGGGGCCATCGAAAGAAGGGAAAAAAAGAGGGGCAAAAATAAAGACGAGCAAAAAAAGAGACAAAAAAAAGAGGAGTAATAAAAAGAGAAGCAATCAAAAGAGGGGCCATCAAAAAAGGGGCAATAAAGAGAGGGGCAAAAATAAAGACGGGCAGAAAGAGAGTAAAAAAAAAACAGAAAAAAAGAGGAGAAAAAAATAGGAGCAATCAAAAGAGGGGCACAAAAAAAGGACAAAAAAAAAGAGGGGCAAAAAGAGGGGCGCCAAGTAAGAAGAGTAAAAAAGAGGGATAAAAAAGGGTCAAAGAAAAAGGAATAAAAAAAGAGGAGGGAAGAGGGGAAAAAAAGAGGGGGAATAGGAGGAAAAATAGGGGGGAATAGGGGAAAACATAGGGGGAAAAGGGGAAAAAATGGGGACAAAAAAAGTAAAAGAAGGACAAAAAAAGTAAAAGAAAGACAAAAAAGAAGACGGACAGAAAGGGGGCAAAACAGGAGTAGGAAAAAAAATAGGGTCAAAAAGAGTTAAAAAAGAGGGCTTAAGTGAGAGGAGTTAAAAAAAAGGGGCAAAGAAAAAGGGACAGAAAAAGAACGGTAAAAAAAGGGCAAAAAAGAGGGCTAAAAAAAAGAAGGGCAAAAAAAAGGGCAAAAAAAAGAAGGGCAAAAAAAAGAAGGGCAAAAAAGAGAAGGGCAAAAAAAAGAAGGGCAAAAAAAGAAGGGAAAAAAAAAGAGAGGCACTAAGTAAGAAGAGTAAAAAAGAGAGTTAAAAAAGCGTCAAAGAAAAAGGGACAAACTAAGAGGGGCAAAAAAAGGGTAAAAAAAAACGAGGGACAAAAAAAAGGGAAAAAAGAGGGGCAAAAAAGAGGGGCCAAAAAAAAGAGGCAGAAAAAAGAAGGGCAAAAAAAGGGGCAAAGAGAGGGCCATTAAGTATGAAGGATAAAAAAGAGGGTTTAAGTGAGAGGAGTTAAAAAAGAGGGGCAAAGAAAAAGGGACAAAAAAAAGAGGGGCAAAGAGAGGGCATTAAGTATGAAGAGTAAATAAAGAGGACTTTAGTGAGAGGAGGTAAAAAAAATAGAGACAAAAAGGAGGGGTAAAAAAAGAGGAGTAAAAAAAGAGGGGCAAAAAAGAGGAGTAATCAAAAGAGGAGCAATCAAAAGAGGAGCCATCAAAAGAAGAGCAATCAAGAGAGGGGCCATCGAAAGAGGGGCAAAAAAAAGAGGGTCAAAAAAATGAGGGACAAAAATAAAGACGAGCAAAAAGAGAGAAAAAAAAGAGAGGCAAAAAAAGAGGAGTAATCAAAAGATGAGCCACCAAAAGAAGAGCAATCAAGAGAGGGGCCATCGAAAGAGGGGTAAAAAAAGAGGCAAAAAAAAGAAGGGCAAAAAAGGAGGGACAAAGAAAAAGGAACAAAAAAAAAGAGGGGCAAAGAGAGGGCATTAAGTAAGAAGAGTAAATAAAGAGGACTTAAGTGAGAGGAGTTAAAAAAAAAGAGAGGCAAAAGAGGGGTAAAAAAAGAGGGGTAAAAAAGAGGGGTAAAAAAAGAGGGTCAAAAAAAGAGGGTCAAAAAAAAAGAGGGTCAAAAAAGAGGGTCAAAAATAAAGACGAGCAAAAAAAGAGAGGGGAAAAAAAAGAGGAGTAATCAAAAGAGAGGCAATCAAAAGAGGGGCCATCAAAAAAGGGGCAAAAATAAAGACGGGTAGAAAGGGAGTAAAAAAAAAACGAAAAAAAGAGGAGAAAATATAGGAGCAATCAAAAGAGGGGCACAAAAAAAGGACAAAAAAAGAGGGGCAAAAAGGGGGGCACCAAGTAAGGAGAGTAAAAAAGGGTCAAAGAAAAAGGAATTAAAAAAAGAGGGACAAAAAAAAGGCAGGGGGGGGGGAGGGGAAAATGGGGCCAAAAAAAGAGGGGCAAAAAAAAGTAAAAAAAAGGGACAAAAAAAAAAGAAGGACAGAAAGGGGGCAAAAAAGGAGTAGGAAAAAAAAACAGGGTCAAAAAGAGAGGCAATCAAAGAAGGGGAAAAAATGAGTTAAAAAAGAGGGCTTAAGTGAGAGGAGTTAAAAAAAGAGGGACAAAGAAAAAGGGACAAAAAAAAGAACGGCAAAAAAAAAGAGGAGAAAAAAAGGGACAACAAAGGGGGGCAAAAAAGGGGCATTAAGTAAGAAGAACAAAAAAAGGGGGCTCAAGTGAGAGGAGTTAAAAAAACACGAGCAAAGAAAAAAAGGGTTAAAAAAAAGGAGCAAAAAAAGATGGATTAAGAGAAAAGGGTAAAACTAGAGGGGTTAAGAGAGCGAGGTTAAGAAAAAAGTGTTAAGACAGAGGGGTAAAGAAAGAAGAGTTAAGAGAGAGGGGTAAAGAGAAAGGGGCAAACAAAATGGGTTAGAAGAGAAGTGCAAAAAACTGAGACAAAAGGAGACGTATTAAGAAAGAGGAGTTAAGAAAGAGGGAGGGAGAAAGAGGAGCAAAATAAGAGTGTTAAGAGCGAAAGGCAAAAAAATAGAGGTAAATAGGGAAGAGAATGGCAAAACGAAATGAGTTTAGCGAGAGGCAAAGAGAGAGGACTTAAGTGCGGGGAACAAAAAAGAAGAGTTAATAAAATTGGGTAAAGAAAGAAGGGTAAGAGAGAGGGGAATTAAGAGGGAGCAATAAAGAGAGGGGGAAAGAAAAACGGCAAAAAATGATCTAAGAGGAGAGAGGGGTCGCTGCAGAGGGTTTAAGAGAGGAGGAAAAAAAGGGGTTAATCCTTTTTTTTCTCTTCTCTCTTAATTTTTCTTTTCTGGAGGGGGGGGGGGAGCAAAAAGAGAGAAGGGTAAAAATGGAATGAAGAGTGTGGAGGCAAAGAGGGAGAAAGCCGATAGGGTGTGTAGGGGAGCATAGATTGTTCAGGGGGGCTTGAAGGAAGCAAACGGGGCGGTCGAAAGGGAGAAGACATTTAATAAATTAAAAAAATATAAACAAATTATAATAAAAAACCTGCACAAGGTTAAGATAAAATACGTAGTTGAACATTCAATACAAAACTTACCTGTCCTAACTCCATTATCAGCAGCGCCGCTTCCCACACGAACCCCACGACCGCCGGTTCGCTCTCATCCAAATTGTTAAAAATAACAGGTACGACGTGACTGTGTTCGTCGCTCAGCAAAAACGGCGCCTTATAATACAAAGCGGCCAGAACTTTAAACCAAGTGGCTCTAATAAAAGCCGATTTGTGAGTGGCCAACTTGAGAAACCTAGAATTGCTAATAATCTGCTTATTGAGTTCGGTACTTTTCTCAATTTGCTCATTAGTCAAAGTATCTAAATATAAACAATAGCCTTGAAGGCTGGATATAATAATTCTCTCGAATTTAGCCTCCGCGTCTTCGTTTGTGCCACTCTTTGAACCGCTTTCGAGTTTCGACGTCAGGTTATCATAAATGTAAGTGAGGATTTCTTTTTGGCAAAAAACTACACAATCTTGGATTTTGTTTGGCGGAAAAGCGGCCTGAAAAAAACATTGTAGACACAAAATGGTACGAAAATACGTCTTACAGTGAAGGCTTTAGCGGCTGCTGTGGCAGCCGGCGGGTAATTATCGTACTGTGAGGTAAACCAAGGTCCGATGAGTTGTTTCAAATAAGGAGCTATAATTTTTTTGTCTTTTAGAATAATCTGATAGTGCGCGCTGTGCACGGCCTCTCTAACTCTATGATCCGTATCCGTGGCCAAAATGCTATACAACGTAGCCCAAAACGCCAAAATCGCCTTAACCGCTTCAGCCTCAGACCCCGCAATAAGATCAGAAAACTCCTGCAACGCCTACCCAAAAACATTACTCAAAAATCACAACACCCCAAAAACGTACTTTAATCTTCGTAGTGCAGTCCTTTTTGTTCATTTTCTTGAACACTATCTGGAAGGCGGGCGATACGGAAGAATCAAACTCCTCCGTCTTCATCAGAGACAACGTGGGTGGAACGAATCGGATCTCTTTCACCGAGGAAAACTGGGGTATTTGGGACGACGAAGCTAGAAGTTCAGCGCTGCGGCCACTGCTCGAAGGCTACAACAAAAAATTGACTCCTCGAAGTGGGCAGAGACGACTTACCCTAGCATTGTTCTTGATTCGTTGGGCTTGTTTGTGTTTGCCACCCATTTTAAGGGGTCGGGTTGTGGTTAGATGTGAAAAGAGTAGAAAGGATTCAGTAAAACGGGAAACTGTTTAATTATCACAACAAACCTGTGCCAACTGTCAATCAAAATTTAACATAACCTGAAACATATTAGTAACTTACGTGGGCGTAAAGTTGGTTGCATAAAGCAATGTCAAGTTGGTACATAATTACTGGTACATATATAACGTAAGTAGAGATTAATTGGAATTCGTTACAGATAACACAAATGGAATGACGATTTGAATTAAATAATTAAATTAATAACAGGTGGAAACGATTTTATTACTTCCGAGTCTTTATTTTAAGTTTTCAAATGGTGAAGCTTTAGCCACATTCAAATTGACGTTTCGGTGATTCGATTGACAAGTGACAACTGAATACCAATATAACCTAATTTTAACTAATTTTTAAAATACTTAATATTGGACAAAAATGTTGATAAAAGACGCCCCCGTTATTTGGGACAGTCTTAGATCGATCATTTGCGTATATAAACCCCCGAATGTGACTTGCCAACGCGTGCGACAAACAATCATTACTGCGGTGTGTACAGGTTAGGTCCGTTTTTTGCAAATATCCACAAATCTATTTTTCCTGAAATTGTAGGTTTAAACGAAATGGAATGTCGCCCCCCTATGGATTACGTCAGTATTGAAGGCAACCCGTCCACTCAATTAACAGTCACGGTGAAACCAAACTTGGCAGATCATCCTCTGGTGGTGGGACCCCGTTACCAAATTGAAGACTTGAAGTGTAGCTGGTCGAACTATTTGGGTTTACACAGTAGCGGCGTTCTTTGTAATTTTACCCATCACACCTTATAATTTCCCTAACTGTGTTTAACTTTCAGTATTAGGGTTGAGGAATGGTACAAAAGCAGCAAAACTAATTCGGGAAAATCGCCCCACTAGAAGTTATAGAGTGAGCGGGCGCTTTGGCGAAGCCACTGAGAATGGGTTTAAAAACGAAAAAGTAGTGGAGCGTTCAACGTATAAACACATTAAGCACGCAAATATAAACAAATTGTTGGCAGCAATGCAAGCCTCACACCAAAAGGAAATGTTTAAGTATGTTTATTATTAAGTTTTATTACAAAAAACTTGTTTGGATTTTGTAGGTCTTGTGGTGTTGATCTTCAATCACAAACTGCATATGAGATGGCTTGTGAAGGTCCGATTCGTCCCGCAGATTCCAAACTGCCGGTGATTTATGGAATCAAGTGTGTTCAGTTTGAGCCGCCAGATTTCGTCATAGGTGTGCATTAACTATACCCTAATCCACTAATTAATGTCAATTATTTCAGAAATACAGTGTATTAATGAGTATGAAACTTACCTGAAAAGTTTGATTCATGAAATTGGGGCTAAATTACGTTCCACGGCGCATTGTACTGGAATTCAGTGTATTAGACACAGCTATTTTACGTTAGAGAATGCCCTGTTGAGAAAACATTGGACGTTGCAGCACATTATTACCAATATGGAGGAATGTATAGCGATTATAGATGAGCACGAGAATTTAGTCAAACAGAAGAAAGCGGCGTTGCAGTGACTTGCTATAGCTCTTCAGGCTCAATTACTTCCTCAGCACTGGCTTTGACCTCAGTTGTACTGCGTGATCTTGCTGAAAACAAAAAATGTATTTGATGATTGTAAATATAATATAAATAAAAATAAAGATTTTTAAAGTGACGTCATCAACTTTATGGGGGGGGGGGGATGCGTATATAAAAATTATATAAAATGAGAGGTTTCAGTCGCCGGAAATGAGGTTGCTAGTTAATCATAATAACTAATAATTTGCTTTAATGATCAATGACAGGAGGTTTATTGAAATTCCAGTCCTATAAATAACTCGTCGATATATTAACGGCACAACTATTAATTAGTAGGTAATTCAACTGCAACTCTATTATGTATCTAACGACGATATTGATTATAACCACATAATATTGCAAACAAGATTGTATAGAGTACACACTCCAGTTTCTCGTGAAATTATTTGAGACAAAGGTAACATTATGTACTTAAAACACTAAAATTTGTCACTAATTATTATTAAGTATACTATTATGAAAGCAAGAATAACGGAATCTACAATCTTGGAATCTAAAACCTTGGCCAGTAGAATCCTGGAATTCAAAATCGTGGGATCCAGAATCTAGAATCTCTGAATCTAGGATCTTTGACTCTAGAATCTTATTTATCAGAATCTTATGGTCTAGATTCTTGGGAACTAGAATCATGGAACCTACAATCTTATAATCTAGAATCCTGTAATCAAGAATCTTGTAATCTAGAATCTTGAAATCTTTGGATCTAGTAGAATCCTGAAATCTACAATCTTAGAATTTAGGGTATTTAAAATCTTAGAATTTCAAAACTAAAACTTTTTAATTTAAAATATAGTACATACTACAAATTTTAGATGAAAAATTTCAAAATTTTGAGACTTTGGATTACGATGTTTTTTTAAACAAAGGAATTTTTTACTTCCCAAGCGTCTAAGCGAAAATTCGCATAATCAAATTTTATAATTTATCGAAAAAACTGGATTTGTTTTATTGTGTTTCAGGGGCGAGGGAAGTTCTGTCGAAATAACCTTCGACCAATTTTTCAATAATCAAATATTTTTAAATCCGTAAAATTCTCAGTTTGAGTTCAGAAGGGTAGAACTTAAACAATTAAGATGCTGGAATCTAGAATTTGGAAATGAAGAATAACGGAATTTAGAGTGTGTAATCTAGAATCTTGGAATCTAAAACCTTGGCCAGTAGAATCCTGGAATACAAAATCTTGGCATCCAGAATCTAGAATCTCTGAATCTAGGATCTTTGACTCTACAATCTTATGATCCAGAATCTTATGGTCTAGATTCTTGGGAACTAGAATCATGAGACTTAGGATCTTGAAATCTTTGGATCTATAATCTTTGAATCTAGAATCCTGAAATCTAGAATCTTGAAATTTTTGGGTCTATATTCTTGGAATCTACAATCTTGGAATTTAGAGTATTTACAGTCTAAGAATCTCAAAACTAAAACTTTGGAAGTCAAGAATAACGGAATCTAGAATCTTGGAATCTAAAACCTTGGCAAGTGGAATCTTGGGATCCAGAATCTACAATCTCTGAATCTAGGATCTTTGGCTCTAGAATCTTATAAATCAGAATCTTATGGTCTAGATTCTTGGGAACTAGAATCATGGAACCTACAATCTTACAATCTAGAATCCTGTAATCAAGAATCTTGTAATCTAGAATCTTGAAATCTTTGGATCTAGAATCCTGAAATCTACAATCTTAGAATTTAGGGTATTTAAAGTCTTAGAATTTCAAAACTAAAACTTTTTAATTTAAAATATAGTACATACTACAAATTTTAGATGAAAAATTTCAAAATTTTGAGACTTTGGATTACGATGTTTTTTTTTAAACAAAGGAATTTTTTACTTCCCAAGCGTCTAAGCGAAAATTCGCGTAATCAAATTTTATAATTTATCGAAAAAACTGGATTTGTTTTATTGTGTTTCAGGGGCGAGGGAAGTTCTGTCGAAATAACCTTCGAAAAATTTTTCAATAATCAAATATTTTTAAATCCGTAAAATTTTCAGTTTGAATTCAGAAGGGTAGAACTTAAACAATTAAGATGCTGGAATCTAGAATTTGGAAATCAAGAATAACGGAATTTAGAATGTGTAATCTAGAATCTTGGAATCTAAAACCTTGGCCAGCAGAATCCTGGAATACAAAATCTTGGGATCCAGAATCTACAATCTCTGAATCTAGGATCTTTGGCTCTAGAATCTTATGATCCAGAATCTTATGGTCTAGATTCTTGGGAACTAGAATCATGAGACCTAGGATCTTGAAATCTTTGGATCTATAATCTTTGAATCTAGAATCCTGAAATCTAGAATCTTGAAATTTTTGGGTCTATATTCTTGGAATCTACAATCTTGGAATTTAGAGTATTTACAGTCTAAGAATTTCAAAACTAAAACTTTGGAAGTCAAGAATAACGGAATCTACAATCTTGGAATCTAAAACCTTGGCCAGTAGAATCCTGGAATTCAAAATCTTGGGATCCAGAATCTAGAATCTCTGAATCTAGGATCTTTGACTCTAGAATCTTATTTATCAGAATCTTATGGTCTAGATTCTTGGGAACTAGAATCATGGAACCTACAATCTTATAATCTAGAATCCTGTAATCAAGAATCTTGTAATCTAGAATCTTGAAATCTTTGGATCTAGAATCCTGAAATCTACAATCTTAGAATTTAGGGTATTTAAAGTCTTAGAATTTCAAAACTAAAACTTTTTAATTTAAAATATAGTACATACTACAAATTTTAGATGAAAAATTTCAAAATTTTGAGACTTTGGATTACGATGTTTTTTTTTAAACAAAGGAATTTTTTACTTCCCAAGCGTCTAAGCGAAAATTCGCATAATCAAATTTTATAATTTATCGAAAAAACTGGATTTGTTTTATTGTGTTTCAGGGGCGAGGGAAGTTCTGTCGAAATAACCTTCGACCAATTTTTCAATAATCAAATATTTTTAAATCCGTAAAATTCTCAGTTTGAATTCAGAAGGGTAGAACTTAAACAATTAAGATGCTGGAATCTAGAATTTGGAAATCAAAAATAACGGAATTTAGAATGTGTAATCTAGAATCTTGGAATCTAAAACCTTGGCCAGCAGAATCCTGGAATACAAAATCTTGGGATCCAGAATCTACAATCTCTGAATCTAGGATCTTTGGCTCTAGAATCTTATGATCCAGAATCTTATGGTCTAGATTCTTGGGAACTAGAATCATGAGACCTAGGATCTTGAAATCTTTGGATGTATAATCTTTGAATCTAGAATCCTGAAATCTAGAATCTTGAAATTTTTGGGTCTATATTCTTGGAATCTACAATCTTGGAATTTAGAGTATTTACAGTCTAAGAATTTCAAAACTAAAACTTTGGAAGTCAAGAATAACGGAATCTAGAATCTTGGAATCTAAAACCTTGGCAAGTGGAATCCTGGAATTCAAAATCTTGGGATCCAGAATCTACAATCTCTGAATCTAGGATCTTTGGCTCTAGAATCTTATAAATCAGAATCTTATGGTCTAGATTCTTGGGAACTAGAATCATGGGACTTTGAATTTTATAATCTAGAATCTTGAAATATTTGGATCGCGAATCCCGAAATCTACAATCTTGGAATTTAGAGTATTCACAATCTTAGAATTTCAAAACTAAAACTTTGGAACTTAAAATATAGTACATACTACAAATTTTAGATCAAAAATTTCAAAATTATAAGACATTGAATTACGATGTTTTTTTTTTAACTAAGGAATTGTTTACTTCCCAAGCGTAAGCGAAAATTCGCATACTCAAATTTTATCAATTTTCGAAAAAGTTGGATTTGTTTTATTGTATTTCAGGGCCGAGCGAAATTCTGTCGAAATAATCTTCGACCAATTTTTTGGTAATTAAATATTTTTAAATGCATAGAATTCTACGTTTGAATTCAGAACGGTAGAACTTAATCAATTAAAATCTTGGAATCTAGTATTTGTAAATCAAGAATAACGGAATCTAGAATCTTGGAATCTAAAACCTTGGCCATCAGAATCCTAGAAATCAAAATCTTGGGATCCAGAATCTAGAATCTCTGAATCTAGGATCTTTGACTCTAGAATCTTATGATTCAGAATCTTATGGTGTAAATTCTGAATCTAGGATCTTGAAATCTTTGGATCTATAATCTCTGAATTTAGAATCCTGAAACCTATAATCTTGAAATTTTTGGGTTTGTAATCTTGGAATCTACAATCTTGGAATTTAGAGTATTTACAATCTTAAAATTTCAAAACTAAAACTTTGGAAGTCAAGAATAACGGAATCTAGAATCTTGGAATCTAAAACCTTGGCCAGTAGAATCCTGGAATTCAAAATCTTAGAATCCAGAATCTAGAATCTCTGAATCTGGGATCTTTGACTCTAGAATCTTATAAATCAGAATCTTATGGTCTAGATTCTTGGGAACTAGAATCATGGGACTTTGAATATTATAATCTAGAATCCTGTAATCTAGAATCTTGAAATATTTGGATCGAGAATCCCGAAACCTACAATCTTGGAATTTAGAGTATTTACAATCTTAGAATTTCAAAACTAAAACTTTGGAACTTAAAACATAGTACATACTACAAATTTTACATCAAAAATTTCAAAATTTTAAGACTTTGGTTCTATCAAAATTTAACTAATACTCGCAAAAGTCAATTAACCAGTTTATAGAAAATAATAGCTTTCTGGTTCAAACTTTAGCTTCAAGAGTTTGAATTTAACCACTCTGTTGAACAGTAGACTTCTCGCACTCCCGAGAAACCCTTCGGATAAAAGAACATAGAAATTGGTCGAAAGTTATTTAGACAGAACTTCCCTTGCTTCTGAAGTACAGTCCAACAAATACACATTTTTAAATAAAGAGAGGCATATGCTGACCTTTTCGAGAAAGTGGGGAAATTTCATCAATAAAAAATTTGTCATGACGTCATAAACATCTTTTGACTTTTTTTCGTAATGTACATAGTCTCCTTTCAGAATAACTTAAAATACCAGCGAATGATTAAGCCCCACCCACCCACCCTTGTCACTCTTGTAATGAATTTTTCATTTGATGTTAGACCGAGGGGCGGAGCTTAATTGCAAAATCCATATTTCTCTATAAAAATTTACCATTCTAAACATATTTTAAGTTTCTTTTTGAGAAAAAATGTAGTGAGCTGTGTGAATTTTTAAAATATAATAGGCAACACGCATTACACCGTGATAGTGACTTCTAAGTACTAGAGGAGGTAGGTATAACTTTTTTTTTTCCTTTTTTTGTATGACAAAAAGATATTAATATGAATGCATTTTACATCAAACTGAAGCTTGTGGACTATCTAAGTATTTATTTTTTTCTTAATAAAACCAACAGTAATCAGTAATATTGTGTCTACCGGGGTTGGAGAAGAAAAGTGGAGGATTTACGTTAATTACTACAAAAATTTACCATTTTAGACATGTTATAAGTTTCTTGTTGTCGAAATAAGTCTACACATACTAAGAAAAACAGGCAAAATATACCCCCGCCCACCCACCCTATCTCAATTGTGATGATTTTTTTTATTCGTCGTAAGCCAAGGGGGCGGAGCTTAACTGCAAAATCCTTATTTCTCTACGAGAAATTAAAAACATGTTTTTGAGCATCGTGCTGTTCAAAGAATACTATGTACCTACATTAGGAAAAAAATAGAGCTAAAGATTAGGCCCCACCGATACCCGCCCCGATCTCAATTCTCAATTGTGATGGATTTTCATTCGTTGTTAGATCAACGGGCGGGGCTTAATTGCAAGATCCATATTTGTCTACAAGAATTTACCATTTTAAACATGTTTTAAGTTTCTTGTTGTCGAAATGAGTCTACACATATTAAGAAAAACAAGCCAAAATGTAGCCCCGCCCACCCACCCTATCTCGATTGTGATGATTTTTTTTATTCGTCGTGAGCCAAGAAGGCGGAACTTAACTGCAAAATCCTTATTTCTTTACGAAAAATTAAAAAATGTTTTTGAGTATCGTGTTGTTCAAACAACACTACGTATATTAAAAAAAAAAAAAAATGAAACCAAAGATTAAGCCCCACCCATCCTGCCCTTATCTAAATAGTAATGAAATTTCTATTCGTTGGCAAACCTAGGGGCGGAGCCCATTGCAAAATCCATATCATTTTAAACGTGTTTTAAGTTTCTCAGAACAAAAAAAATCATCACAATTGAGATGGGGTGAATGGGCGGGGTTTATATTTTGTCTGTTTTTCTTAATGCACATAGTATTCTTTGAACAACGATACTCGAAAGCATTTTTTAATTTGTTGTAAAGAAATAAGTATTTTGCAGTTAAGCTCCGCCCCGCTTGATTCACAGCGAATAAAAAAATTATCACAATTGAGATAGGGCGGGTGGGCGGGCTTAAATTTTGCCTTTTTGTTTTAGTATGTGTGCACTTCTTTTCACAACATGGAACTTAAAACATTTTTAAAATGGAACATTTGTATAGGGAAATATCGACTATAATAAATATATGTTCTAAGTTTCTTGTTCTGAAAAGATGGCCATGTATATTAAGAAAAAAAAGCAAAATATAAGCCCCGCCCACCCACCCTATCTCAATTTTGATGATTTTTTTTTATTTGTCGTAACCCGAGAGGCGGAGCTTCATTCTAAAATCCTTATTTTTCTACGAGAAATGACGATGTGAAATATGTTCTTAAGTAATTATACAAAGAAAACTAAATGTATTAATTAAAAAGAAAAGCAAAAGAGAAGTCCCACCTATCCGTCTCGATTTCTATCGTGATGAATTTTTCATTCGTTGTCAGACCGAGGGGCGGAGCGTAATTGCAAAATATAGTTCCCTATACAAAGTTACCATTTTAAACACGTTTTAAGTTTCTTGTTGTGAAAGGATGACTACACATATTAAGAAAAAAAGGGAAAAGTAAGCCCCGCCCACCCGCCCTATCTCAATTGTGATGATTTTTTATTCGTCTTGAGCCAAGGGGGCGAAGCTTAATTGCAAAATTCTTATTTCTCCACGAGAAATAAAAAACACGTTTTTGAGAATACTATGTATATTAAGAACAAACATTTCATTCGTTGTCAGATCGAGGGGCGGAGCCTAATTGCAAAATCGATACTTTCCTACAAAAATTTACCATTTTAAACATGTTTTACTATTCAGTCTTGCAATTCTTGATTTAATCAATAAAATAAATTGATCAGTCATTAATTTTTTCAGACGTCCTGTAGTGATAAATCACAAGTAGACTCATTTGACAAAAATCGGCCCAGTATTTTCGGATCTGTCTAATAAAAATCGGGACGGCAGACACACGGACAGACGTACAGACGGACAGATAGACGGACTAATAAAAAACCAATGAAATCCAAAAGCGGAGGTGGGTGGGGTTAGTTTTAGCTTTTCATCTAGATTCCAATGTTTATCAATATAAAACTCTCTTTTTGTCCAATAAAATGAGTAATCAAGAGGAAAATCGGGTGGGTGGGCGAGGTCACTTTGAATTTCTATAAATAGATTCAATCACATTCCATCTAATCAAATAAGCCAAGAAATTCAAAACCGAAGGTAGGTGGGGTTAGTTTTAGAGTTTTGTTTAGATTCCACTGTTCGTCCAATAAAATGCGTGACCAAAAAGAAAATCGGGTGGGTGGGCGGGGCCATTTTGAGTTTTTTAAGCCTAATTCGCTACTTGACATAGTAAAACTCAGTTTTGCTCTAATCTAAAAAACCAATGAAACCGCCCACCCGGCCTTTATTTTCTTAGAGGATATGTCATTTACCAAAATCAGTCTTATATTATCAAGTACTAGCCCCGCCCACCCGCCCTCTATTTTCTTAGAAGGTATATCATTTGCTACAGTCAGTCTTATCGTAGCTAAGATAAAACTAATTTTGGCAAATGACATACACTCTAAGAAAAGGGAGGGTGGGTGGGCGGGGCTAGTACCTGTTAAGATAGCAGTGACTTTGGCAAATGACAAAAGTTTTATTACTAGTTATTGTGATAATGTATGTGTTGTCTAGTTGTTAAACATAGCAAAAGAACCAATTTTTAATTCATTATAACTCCACCAAAATTGATGATTGTTAAGAGCGTAGCGCTATTTTCCAGACACCCGGTATATCAAAAGCGTACGTCATACATATTAGTAATTTTATTTTTGTAGTAGTTAATTACTAAAGAGCGGCGAGGTTACTTGTGGTGTATACAAACGTTCGACTTTGATTAGAGTTCGAAGGAAGTTGTGCATGCCTGTGAATTAAAACTGGCTCAGTAATCGCAAATCTAGAATTCAATTTAGGCACAAGAAAATTTTAAGTTTTTAACAACTTTCAGTATTAAAATATTAGTGGAAAGTGCATGTTTTTCCATGAAATAAATTTTAATGCAAGTAAAACCAACCATAAAGCTCCATCAAATTTCCGAGTATTTCCGTTTTAACTGCGCGTTTACAGGCGATCGTGCAATAAAATAGACTTCTTAGCAATTAGTTCTACATCTAACTAAACCTGGCAATCTCGTGGGTGTGCAAAGAAACTTCCACCATTAATTCCGTATTTCTGTATCAGTTTCACTCTAAAAATAATAAACAATCAAAAACGTCAACAACCGAATTTTTTCCTAAGATAGTCATGTTTTTGATCACTTTGAACCCAAACCAACTCAAGAAAAAATTTAATTTCAGTAAGTAAGCGCTTCACCTGCACACTTGGCTTAAACAGATTATCAACCTTGCGCTTCACCTGTTATCACCTTTTCCTGCATTTCCCTCAATTCCAATATCGCGTCTCCACGCTCAGCCTCCAGGTCTGCACCCAAAGCGGGATGCAGTTTTCCCTCATTACGCTCTCCCAGCGCCAATAAATAAATCTAAGTCTTGCAGTCCTCGTAAAACATCAACCCAGTGAACAGCGAATCCTTTAATCCTGTTATCCTGTTGATTTGAAAGATACGCCTGATTGTTTTTGTTTGTTATTGGCCGTGTCGGAGGTGGGGTATCTATCGCTGTTACTGTTAGTTACAGTTTCAGGTCCACAGTCGCGCTAATTGCTCGTTCCGCCCGCTTAGATTGCAGCTTGCAGCGCGCTATGCACCTACTTTTTGCGTTGAAATTCGTGGTTTGCGGTTTTTGGCTGGCGAGCGCGTCGCAGGAGGAGTTGGTGGTGAGGATCGTGGGCGGGCTGCAGGAGGCGATGGTCCTGGCGGAGGAAACGGGGCACTTGCTGAAAGGGCCGGTGAGTACTTCAGGAAGGGGTTGCCGCTGCTTCTATTTTTTGAATGCTTTTGTAGCCATTATTTATTATTACATATAATAATTCTGTAATCGAACTAGGAAATTTTGATTCTTGTCCACTTTATTCTGTCTAATTGTTTGGGATTATGGAAACCCGTAGTGAGGAGGCGGAGCAATCTAATGTCCCTCGCCAATAATTTTGCGTGCGATAGTAACTACACATATTAAGAAGAGAAAAATATTAAATATTTATTTATTTTTTTAATAAAAACCTAATAATAAACCAATAATTTTGTGTCTACCTATACTTCATTGTAGTGACGAGTTTGATCGTGCGGTCTGTGAGAATTGTGATCAGTAATGGGAAATTAAAAGAAATGTGAAATAATAATGCGAAATGAAGAACCCGAAATGAAATATGCGAAATATGAGATGAGAAATGACAAACGCGAAATGAGTAATGCGAAATGGGAAGTGCGAAACGAGAAATGAGATGATTAATGAGAAATTGGAAGAAATGAGAAATAAGAAATAAATAGTGCGAAATGACAGATGCGAAATGCGAGTTGAGACGTCGGGGGCCCTGAGATTCTTTAAACCATTTCAAGAATAAAACGTCGGGAACCCTGAGATTCTTTAAACAATTTGGAAAATAAAACGTCTGGGAGCCCTGACATTCTTTAAACCATTTCAAGAATAAAACGTCGGGAACCCTGAGATGCTTTAAACTGTCTTTTAAAGATCAAATGTCAGGAGCCCCTGAGATTCTTTAAACCATTCCATGAATAAAACGTTGGGAGCCCTGAGATTCTTTAAACCATTTCAAGAATAAAACGTCAGGAGCCCTGAGATTCTTTAAACAATTTGGAAAATAAAACGTCTGGGAGCCCTGAGAATCTTTAAACCATTTCAAGAATAAAACGTCGGGAACCCTGAGATTCTTTAAACAATTTGGAAAATAAAACGTTTGGGACCTTTGAGATTTTTTAAACCATGTAAAGAACAAAACGTCGGGAATCCTGAGATACTTTAAATTGTCTTTTAAAGATCAAATATCAGGAGCCCTGAGATTCTTTAAACCATTTTAAGAATAAAACGTTGGGAGCCCCTGAGATTCTTTAAACCATGTAAAGAATAAAACGTCGGGAACCCTGAGATTCTTTAAATTGTCTTTTAAAGATCAAATAACAGGAGCCCCTGAGATTTTTTAAACCATTTTAAGAATAAAACGTCAGGAGCCCTGAGATTCTTTAAACAATTTGGAAAATAAAACTTCTGGGAGCCCTGAGATTCTTTAAACCATTTCAAGAATAAATCGTCGGGAACCCTGAGATTCTTTAAACTGTCTTTTAAAGATCAAATGTCAGGAGCCCCTGAGATTCTTTAAACCATTCCATGAATAAAACGTTGGGAGCCCTGAGATTCTTTAAACCATTTCAAGAATAAAACGTCGGGAACCTTGAGAATCTTTATACCATTTCAAGAATAAAACGTCGGGGATCCTGAGATTCTTTAAACTGTCTTTTAAAAATTAAAAAATATCAAGAGCCCCTGAGATTCTTTAAACCACTTTAAGAATACAACGTCAGGAGCCCTGAGATTCTTTAAACAATTTGGAAAATAAAACGTCTGGGAGCCCTGAGATTCTTTAAACTATTTCAAGAATGAAACGTCGGGAACCCTGAGAATCTTTAAACCATTTCAAGAATAAAACGTCGGGAATCCTGAGATTCTTTAAACTGTCTTTTAAATATTAAAAAATATCAAGAGCCCCTGAGATTCTTTAAACCATTTTAAGAATAAAACGTCAGGAGCCCTGAGATTCTTTAAACAATTTGGAAAATAAAACGTTTGGGAGCCCTGAGATTCTTTAAACCATTTCATAAGAATAAAACGTCGGGAACCCTGACATTCTTTAAACTGTCCTTTAAAGATCAAATGTCAGGAGCCCCTGGGATTCTTTAAACCATTCGATGAATAAAACGTTGGGAGCCCGGAGATTCTATAAGCCATTTCAAGAATAAGACGTCGGGAACCCTGAGATTCTTTAAACTGCTTTTAAAGATTAAAAAATATCAAGAGCCCCTGAGATTCTTTAAACCATTTTAAGAATACAACGTCAGGAGCCTTGAGTTTCTTTAAACAATTTGGAAAATAAAACGTCTGGGAGCCCTGAGATTTTTTAAACCATTTCAAAAATAAAACGTCGGGAATCCTGAGATTCCTTAAACTGTCTTTTAAAGATCAAATGTCAGGAGCCCCTGAGATTCTTTAAACCATTCCATGAATGAAACGTCTGGGAGCCCTGAGATTCTTTAAACCATTTCAAGAATAAAACGTCAGGAGCCCTGAGATTCTTTAAACAATTTGGAAAATAAAACGTCTGGGAGCCCTGAGAATCTTTAAACCATTTCAAGAATAAAACGTCGGGAACCCTGAGATTCTTTAAACAATTTGGAAAATTAAATGTTTGGGACCTCTGAGATTTTTTAAACCATTTCATTAATAAAACGTTGGAAGCCCGTGAGATTCTTTAAACCATGTAAAGAATAAAACGTCGGGAACCCTGAGATTCTTTAAACTGTCTTTTAAAGATCAAATGTCAGGAGCCCCTGGGATTCTTTAAACCATTTTAAGAATAGAACGTCAGGAGCCTTGAGATTCTTTAAACAAATTAGAAAATAAAACGTTTGGGAGCCCTGAGATTCTTTAAACCACTTCAAAAATAAAACGTCGGGTATCCACTGTCTTTTAAAGATTAAATATCAGGAGCCCCTGAGATTTTTTAAACCATTTTAAGAATAAAACGTCAGGAGCCCTGAGAATCTTTAAACAATTTGGAAAATAAAACGTCTGGGAGCCTTGAGATTTTTTAAACCATTTCAAAAATAAAACGTCGTTAATCCTGAGATTCTTTAAACAATTTGGAAAATTAAACGTTTGGGACCTCTGAGATTTTTTAAACCATTTCATGAATAAAACGTTGGGAGCCCCTGAGATTCTTTAAACCATGTAAAGAACAAAACGTCGAGAATCCTGAGATGCTTTAAACTGTCTTTTAAAGATCAAATGTCAGGAGCCCCTGAGATTCTTTAAACCATTCCATGAATAAAACGTTGGGAGCCCTGAGATTCTTTAAACCATTTCAAGAATAAAACGTCAGGAGCTCTGAGATTCTTTAAACAATTTGGAAAATAAAACGTCTGGGAGCCCTGAGATTCTTTAAACAATTTCAAGAATGAAGCGTCGGGAACCCTGAGATTCTTTAAACAATTTGGAAAATAAAATGTTTGGGACCTCTGAGATTCTTTAAACCATTTCATGAATAAAACGTTGGGAGCCCCTGAGATTCTTTAAACCATGTAAGGAACAAAACGTCGGGAATCCTGAGATACTTTAAATTGTCTTTTAAAGATCAAATATCAGGAGCCCTGAGATTCTTTAAATCATTTTAAGAATAAAACGTCAGGAGTCTTGAGATTATAAAAAATCTTTTGGAAAATGAAACCTCTGGGACCCCTGAGATTCTTTAAACCATTTCATGAATAAAACGTTGGGAGCCCTGAGATTCTTTAAACCATTTCAAGAATAAAACGTAGGGAACCCTGAGATTCTTTAAACTATTTTACGAATAAAACGTCAGGAGCCCTGAGATTCTTTAAACAATTTGGAAAATAAAACGTCTAGGGGCCCTGAGATTCTTTAAACCATTTCAAGAATAAATGGTCGGGAACCCTGAGATTCTTTAAACTGTCTTTTAAAGATCACACATCAGGAGCCTCTGTGATTCATTAAACCATTTTAAGAATAAAACGTCAGGAGTCTTGAGATTATAAAAAATCTTTTGGAAAATGAAACGTCTGGGACCCCTGAGATTCTTTAAACCATTTCATGAATAAAACGTTGGGAGCCCTGAGATTCTTTAAACCATTTCAAGAATGAAACGTCGGGAACTCTGAGATTCTTTAAACTGTCTTTTAAAGATCAAATGTCGGGAGCCTCTGAGATTCTTTAAACCATTTTAAGCATAAAACGTCAGGAGTCTTGAGATTATAAAAAATCTTTTGGAAAATGAAACGTCTGGGACCCCTGAGATTCTTTAAACCATTTCATGAATAAAACGTTGGGAGCCCTGAGATTCTTTAAACCATTTCAAGAATAAAACGTCGGGAGCCCTGAGATTCTTTAAACCATTTCAAGAATAAAACGTCGGGAACTCTGAGATTCTTTAAACTGTCTTTTAAAGATCAATTGTCGGGAGCCTCTGAGATTCTTTAAACCATTTTAAGCATAAAATGTCAGGAGTCTTGAGATTATTAAAAATCTTTTGGAAAATGAAACGTCTGGGACCCCTGAGATTCTTTAAACCATTTCAGGAATAAAACGTCAGGAGCCCTGAGATTCTTTAAACAATTTGGAAAATAAAACATCTGGGACCCCTGAGATTCTTTAAACCATTTCATGAATAAAACGTTGGGAACCATGAGATTTTTTAAACCATTTCAAGAATAAAACGTCGGGAACCCTGAGATTCTTTAAACTGTCTTTTAAAGATCAAATGTCAGGAGCCCCTAAGATTCTTGCAACCATTTTAAAGATATAACGTCAGGAGCCCTGAGATTCTTTAAACAATTTGGAAAATAAAACGTCTGGGTGCCCTGAGATTCTTTAAACCATTCCATGAATAAAACGTTGGGAGCTCTGAGATTCTTTAAACCATTTCAAGAATAAAACGTCGGGAATCCTGAGATTCTTTAAACTGTCTTTTAAAGATTAAATATCAGGAGTCCCTGAGATTCTTTAAACTATTTGGAAAATAAAACATCCGGCAGCCCTGAGATTCTTTAAACCATTTCAAAAATAAAACGTCTGAAACCCTGAGATTCTTTAAACTGTTTTTTAAACATCAAATGTCAGAAGCCCCTGAGATTATTTAAACCATTCCATGAATAAAACGTTGGGAGCTCTGAAATTCTTTAAACCATTTCAAGAATAAACCGT